AGAGGAGAGGAGAGGAGAGAGAGTGGAAGATGAGAAGATGGGATGGGATGAGATGGGATGAGATGGGATGAGATGGGAAAAGATGAGATGATAGGAGATGATAGGAGAGGAGATGAGAGTATATAGAGAGTATATGAGAGTATAAGGGATGCAATGAAAAGATAAGAGTAGAAGAGTAGAAGATGAAGAAAAAAGATAAGATGAGATAGGACAACAGAAAAAAATAAGAATATAGCTCGAGTAAAAGATATAATACTGTTGGTATCACCTCGGGGGTGAAATGGCTATACCATATGGTCAAAAGTATTGTATTAAAAGTTGGTTGAGGCTATTCCCACTTCGAGAGCGGGAGGCCTATATGGCCATCGATATAACGTGACCATATTCATTAGTATCGCAACAAATACTCAAGTAAAGAAGTTAGAAGTTCTAATTATCTTATCCACAAAACAAAACAATACATACAATCAATATATTACAATACAATTAATATATTACTTTTCATATCATCATATCATTACATCATCATATATCATCATCAGTAGGGAGTGAGATTATATACAAAAGGAAGGTATAGTAGTAGGTAGGTAAATAGGTAGGTAGATAGGTAGATAAGTATAATTAAAATGTAATGTAATGTAATGTAATGAATCACTGGAAGATGAGAGGAGATGAGATAAGATGAGATGTATATATGTAATAAGTTTTGTGAACTTTGTTATTTATTTATTTTTTATTCGTTTATAGAATAGCTAGGTAGCTAGGTAGCTAACTACTCAATCGGATAGTAAAAGAAAAATAATTACAGTAGAGCAATGATAATATTTTCGTGTATACTCTATCCATTTAAAAATCCAACGCTTTTTAATACATGCAAGAGGAGAATTCTATTAGACTAGGTACCTGTATATTTAACGAGTCCCCTCAGATAAACTCCATTCCAAAGATCCTTCCGTGATTTAGGGGGTATATCCATCCCATGCGCCTTTTGCAAATGCAAATCCCCTTTTTTTTCCCCCAGAAGCAAAGCATCCTTATGCGTACACACATACATGTATCGAATACCCAAACACCAATCATGTTTTCATATGTCCATGAATCATGACATTCCATTCCTTACAAATGAGCTCCATTTCCATTTCCATTTACATATCCAACTCCTCCATCTAATGCTGGCAAATCTTCATAATCTGGAATCGGAGGTCCGTCATACAATTCCGGGTTGACATAAGTAGGAGGGCTGGCAGGAACATTTTCATATAAAGGAGGTTGTTCCTCATCCCACGAGATACCCAAGCCGGATCTCTCGGTAACATTAAGGTTGAAGTGCATTCTCAAAACTCTTGCACCTCCGGTTGGGGTTACTTGTGATGGTTTTCGGATAGGGGCGAATTCCTCCGAGACAATCATCTCAACGATGAGAGTATGGGAAACTTCCGTACCATCCTCAGCTTTCGTATCGCAAATCGGTTTCGCATCCGGACGAATAGAAATTGGGAATTCGATTTCAATGGATCCATCCGCGGTATCGTAACTTGCTTTCCATCCGGATTTGATCTCCTCAGTAGCTAGCGTGCGTATATCTTGATGCGCGGCACCTTTCTTGTTCTCGCCTTCCTTTGTTACCTTTGCGGCATGCTTGGGACATGCCGGTGAGATAACTCTTTGTGTCTCTTCCAAGCGCCATGTCAAACGCTTCAACTTCCAATGGTTCTGTGTCTTTGCATCCACATTTCGATTTACCACACCATTCATGCGCATTGATATGTTTGCTTCGCCGATGGGGTAGATGACGGGAGGGAGCTGGCAGTTGGCGGTCAAATTCGTTGGTGGGAAGATTCGAATCGAATTGCGAGGTGTGTCGGGAGGGATAATGGCACGCTTAATGTTCAAAACGTGTGAGAGTTTCATCGGCTCGCCAGTTTTTGGCACAAGTGTGGCCTTCAGAACGTATTCGATATTCGACAGCGTCCCCTTCATACTCGCAGGTAGATGGCCGGGAAGGAGAAAGCTAAATGGGAAGTCGTGTTCGCCTGTAAAAAATTGAATTAGAATATTGAACATAAAAATAGAATTCGATGCACTAGTATACCTTTTCGTAGAGTAGCTGGACCTTGAAGGAAATTCCAGGTAGTCAAATCCTTTGATTGATGGGCACACTCATGGCAATGCGCATGAAATGGCTTCTTTTGCGTCACCTCCACTGCCAATCGCATCTTGAATGACTCAATGGCAAACTTCTCATCATGAATGTGCAATTTCAATTGACCAGAGAGTAATGCGCCGGTGCTCGCACTCGTAGAACCGTAAAGGAGCAATGGTGGTGATTCAATGGCACAGTCGAGCGTTGCGCCATGATTTGGAGGACTTGATCTCGAGGATGTTTTTTGCGAATGAAGACCAGGTATCGAGATACGTTTGTGAGAAAGGGAAGAAAGATCGTGCATCTTTGCTCCTTTATCTTCTGCAATGGAAGAGGCCGATGAAGATGGTGTGCGACTTTTTAAAGTTGGTCTACTACTTGAATTCCTTCTTGAACCTTTTTTTCCTTCGGTAGGTAGTTCAAATGAATGAGTTCGAAAGAACGACGTAACATGCTGCATGGTGGCAGGCATAGCGAGGCTTTTGGTGGCGCTGCCAATAGGGAAAATAAAGTTTTTCGGTGGCCTCTTTTTCCGCACAACAATGCTTGCCGCTTCTTAATAGTAATCAACTTTCATTCGTTTTGGAAAGTATTGATTGTCAATCTTCAAAGCGGTCGTCCAAAAGTAGATGGGGGTAAAGGGTAGAGGCTTTAAAGTTGAAGGTAGGAGGTGGTGTGTCGTTGATATCAAAAAGAAGAGGAAGAGGAGGATGATGATGATGTAATAAAGTAATGCTTGATTGGTAACGAGTATTTGAGTATATAATAACCAATTCTCTTTGTTTGATGAATAGATGGTGGTTTGTGTTGTATGTTGTATGTATGTATTGTATTAGATTATATATACTCGAGTAGGTAGGTAGGTATAGAGTTAAGTATCTTATATGAATGAAGTGGTGGATAGAATATTATTAATTATACGAGTTATTGAAGTTAAAGTTGAATACCTTGATGAAGAAGGTGGAAGGGGTCTGAATTATGTATGAAATTGCAATATATCTTTTATATTAGTCTTGATATTGCATTTATATCTTGTACTTCTTTCTCATTTATTATTACTCTTAGAGGAATTTTATGTGTCAATCGATGTTCTAGTGAATCAAATTCTGAAGTTCAAGTCGTGTTGTGAGTTGCCCCTCATATTTGGAAAACCCAGTTTAATTATTCCTTGCTGCTTGCCTGGTGCTAGACTCACACAGACTTGTCCCATATTTGCCCAGGTTGTTATAAATGTGGGGGGATTTTCCATTTTGTTTCTACGGTTAAGTTGGTTTTTGGTTTTAGGGTTTTGTTGGTTTATGTTTACCGGTGAAGCTGTCAATAGATCAATAGAGTCATACTCATACCGGTACTATTAGTATTTGAGATCTGTTGAATACATTATATATACAGTATACCGATCGGTATATCAAATACTATACTCGAGTAGTTCTCTCTCTATTCACAATCACAATCTTTCAAAACATTTGATGGTTTTTTATATATTTCATTTTTATAATTTTACATTTTTTGGCAGAAAGTATTCATTGGAATTTTGCATGTGTTATAACTTTTCAACAAGCTCCCTTGTAAAGCATTACGTTTTAGTTTCCTCTGAGGTACGTCTTATGGATGAAGGTACATTTCATTGTCAGAGACTTCTTTTTCAACCAGCCAGTCAATTGAAGAGCTGATGAGGAATATTGAAATATTGACTGTTGAAAAAGCATGTCAGCAAGTTCATCATCCTTTTTGTATTATATTGCATGCCAGTAGGTACCAGCTAACCAGCTAGCCAGTCAATCACCTACCCGAGGACCTGAGTTTTTCTACCCACCTAGGTATCTTGCTACTGTAATAACTTACTCTTGATTACTTTTATACCGATCGGTATTGCGATTATTCCAGGTACAATGATGGAAATACAAGGATTTCTTTCAGGATCGTTTAAAGGATCTATTTTATGAGATGTTACACTACAGATGAAGAGTTCCTCACCTTTTGTCTAATATATATTCGTATTCAACTGAATTTCAACTCCGCAAAGTCTACTTTATATATACCTAATAAGGTAATACCCAATGGTAATATCACAATATCATGATGATATATTTTTAGATCAACATAAGAGCCCCATTCTGGTCCACTACGTTTGTTTTTTTTTTGGATCTTCTAGAATCTTTGTTGTCAGGATGATTCGCAATATGCTTCTACAGAATCGATACATCGATAACAGCTACGCAGCTACATTGCTACAGTAGCCATCTACAACCAAATATCATGAATGATACCATCAATTCCAATACATGCAGGGAAATGATACAATTATTACAACAATATACGACATCTCAAGATTCCTAGTTTCCTACCAGTGAATATTTCCCTTTCTCCTCGGAGAGAATCATATTATATTTTCATCCTTTATATTTATTGGGTCTATGACTTTATTCGATGCATACACACACCGTATGGGAATAACGACGACACACTCACCGTCAAATATACCAACCAGAAATCCCTCACAGTCGGGATATACTTTCCTTATTCGGCCTGGCATATATATACAATAGTCACACAAACCATGTTGATTCTATCGAGTACAACTGGGGACTGTACAATAACCAAAACCACATCCAAACTAAAGCTGGAACAACATCGCATCACATCTATCACATCATATCTATCACATCATATCAATCACATCGTGCAATGAACCTCCATCTTCGTTCGTTGCTTTTCGCTTTTCAACATTCCAGACCGCGTCCTCTCAGCCCTTCAATGAAACTCGGAAGTCCATCTACGAATCCCATTCGATCATATTCAATAATCATTACATAACATCTAGCCTTATTTCAACGATCCCTCCACCATTTTCATGGTCCTCATCAACTTCGAGACTCGAGAGTGGAAAATCACAACAAGCCTCGAGGTATCCAGATTTATCTACTCGATGGGATCCACTGTTTCTTATATATCCACTCTGCTGTATTAAATATTGAGCACTCAACATGTTTTTTTTTTGGCTCGATCTTCCAAATTATCGGCTTACACTTTTACCAGACGATGCTAATTAAATTTTAAGAGAAATTTTTAAAGAAATTTTTAGACTTCCCGCAGCTTCGCCCACGGTTCAATTTTGGATGGTACGATGTACTCCACTCATGTACCGTATATACCCTCGATTATACTTTTTCTAGAAAACCGATGTTTTGCGTGCGAAGAATTCTATTTTCTACCGAGAAAATCGTCTGCATGGCGTGATACAATATTCCGATTGGATCATGAGGACACAGGGGAACACCTCATTTTTCTTCCCCGGCTCAGTGCGGTCTCCATATGAAATTGATTTTTTCTTGACCACCAGCAGACTGATTCTGATTCTGAATAGAGTGAGAAAAAATAGATTGGACCTTTCCTCACCGATCAAGGCCGATTTTGTGGATCATTGATTCATTGTATCTCCATAGTAAAAAAAAAAGGAGAGCCGAGACAGGAGGAACTCTAGAAATCCAAATGGAATTTGAAGAAGCCTTATTTATTCTTTTACCATATTTTTGTTGCACACCTCAATCAAGGCTCAAAGTTGACCCATTATCACTGTGGAAACGAACTGAACTGTGGACACCAGAAACGAAGGGTCAAAATATGAAGTTGGAGTTGGCATGTGCATTGTGGACTGTGGGCTGTGGAGTTTTTCTACTGCGTGCATCAATCATGCATGGTTGTCATTGATACAATGATACTAGACACTGGACACGGTGGACAGATCACGATGAAACAAAATATCAGGTCTGGACTGGGTATATGTGGTTCTTTCGAGACGAGTGATCATTCCTCGTGAATAGTTTTTTGAATGGTAGATGAAGGATATTGTGGGTGGATACTGGAGAATCCATGGAATTGGATAATGAATCGACTCAGTTCAACAGTTGAGACGGTTTCGAGTTTGATGGATCGATTGATGGTGTTGGCATTTAATACAGTCAGAGATGACCGAGTATGTATCGTTGGCTTTCTCCACAAGTAAGAGAATCTAGATGTATGTGCGAATATACGGGGACAGTATCGAAGTCGATGCTGTACTTTCTTTTAGCATCCTTTCAGCATCCTTTCAGCATCGAATTGAGGATCGAGTCTTATACACTTTCTTTGCTCGAGCAGTACAGTAGTAGTACCGTACTGGATCTTCGAAGCTATAAAGGTCGAAATCCCATACACAATGAGACTAATTTTCGATCGAGTATAGTATCAAATCATTGTATTTTATTTTATTTTATTTTAAGTTATTTTAAGACATAGATAGTACGGTACGGTAGTAAACTGGGCGAGTGCAGTGATCGATTCATTAGGATTGGGTCAGCCAGGTAGATGACTAGAAACTTTCTCTATGTCATAAGTTTATATTCTCCAATTCCAACAATCCAAACTTCAATCCCTCGACTCACCACCCATTACCCCAATGTAAAGATTACATTACATTCCAATCTTTCCCTCTCCAGTCCCAGTCCCCACCAATCCCCAATTCCTCATCCAACAGACCAACACCTTCTTCCCTCAATCTCCAGCCTGAATCGTATCGAGAGTACCTATCGTGATCTTCAACGAAAGCCAGAGAGAAGTCTCAAAATGGCTGGGAGTTTTATAATAATAATTCCTCCCCCTCTCCCTCCCCCAACAGTATAGGCAGTACCGATAGTTAACCCATTCATCCAGTTAATCTTCAACCAGTTAATCTAGTTTATCAAATCCAAACCGGTAGTCGGTTTAGTTTTAGTTTATATAATTTCAATTCCCAATCAAAATACACAAACTAGTAGTTGGACTAGTTAAGCCGATTAAAACTAGTAGTTTAGTCCATCAAATTCAAATAAGCAATCACTTTAGTTTGTGTAACTTCAATAGCCAGTTTAAAAACGGCTTCGCACTACTACTGTACCGTATCTACACTGCCCTCAAATTCCAATCCCCAAATTTCATCCTAAAATTACAACTTCCTCGTCCCCCTCCCTCCCCCTCCTACCAAAAAGAAAACGCACGCTCCCATCTCCCCTCTTCCGTCCCCATCCCCTCCACCCTATTCCTCTAAGCCCTATTCCAACTAAACCACTAAAAAAACCCCCACCAAAACCCTCACCAGAAACCCTCACCAGAAACCCTCCGCCCCACCCATTTACCTCGAAATTTACCTTAGTGCAAAAAAAAAGAAAAAAGAAAAGAAAAATATCTTGCAAAAAAGAAGATTTATTGACCTACGCAGGGCTCGAACCTGCAATCTCTTGATTCGACTACACACAGGTTCGATCCCTGCGTGTTTTCGTAGTCAAGCGCCTTACCATTGGGCCAGCAGGCCTGAATGAGCTGATTTGCTCTTTGTGCTGTTTGATGGAGTGGAGGAGAGGTTGGGGGGATATAGTGTTATGTGTGTGGTGTGTAGTATGTAGTATGTAGTATGTAGTATGTAGTGTATTGAGAGTTGGGAGTTGAGAGCTGAAG